CCGAGGCAGCCAGGGCACTGTCTGCTGGAGGGGCCACGGTCTCATGGGCAGCTCCAGGTCCAAACGGGGGTTACCTGGGCAGGGGCAGCCCCATGCCCTTCCCTCCCCAGGAGGAAAATCCAACACCAGGCCATGCAGCAGCCTGACGCATGGCTCATCTCCTCCTGTTGAAGCCCCGTCACCCATGCAGACGGCGTTCGGGGTGTCTGCCCTCAGGAGGGCTGGCAGTGTCACCCCGTCACCTGCCAGCAGCACCCAGTCGGGACCCGATGCCTGAGCTCAGACCTCACGGGTGCTAACTCAGAGGTGTCAAAGCCCGTCCTGGATCTGGCCCAAAATCTCACAAGCCCGGTGTCAGCTTTGATCACCTCCACTCCCCTCTTGGGCTGCCACCGCAGCCCTCGGTGCAGAGACCAGGCGGCAGCAGGAGGAGGAGGAGGAGGAGGAGGAGGAGGAGGTGGTCCGGGTGACCTCCCTGGGCACAGGGAGGATGGTGTCCGTCCGCTCGCTGCTGCTCGGCCCGGGGCCACTGCCAGCTACTTCTAATGACACTTCAACAAACACATAACAATCTGTCTTACGGAAAATCAGTGAATAAATTTCATTTAAAAATACTTCTCTATTTCTGGATAAGGCACCACTCTGCTCCAGCTACTTCAGAATCGGCTGAAGCCTTCACGTTACCCAACAGCAAGACTGCAAAAGGCTGTTACGGGCAAAATACAGCATTCAACTCTCCGTAAGATTAATAAACAGCTCTCTAAACCACTCTTCTTACATAAGTGTAGACGGCTTCTCAGTGTTTGGCTTTTATCCACCAGCTGATGCATACCTCACGAAAGGCAAAAAGGTGAAAGAAAGACTTAATATCCAGCTGCTGGTGGCTTTGTCCCTGCTGTGTGCCCCTCCGGAGGCTGAGGAGCAGGGTGTTGGGAGCAGGGAGGTGGTGGCCGCTGGCTGCCTGCCCAGCTGGGATGTAACGGAGGGGACCAGGCGTTGCTTTGTAAGATGGAAAATTTTAGGGAGGCTTTTGCTCTGCTGGCTGCAGGTCCCCGTGCTGTGCACATCCCTGCAGAGTCACGCTGGCCTAATTATGTCTTCAAGCAAATGCAATGTATTTACTAAATGTGCAGGCTTCTCTAAATTAGCATTAGCCCATGTGTACAAAACCGACCGCTGCAGCTGTGCGCAGCCACTCGCCGCGGCCAACGGCGCGCTGTCCGCAGGGGACCTGAGCGGCAGAGCGAGCGACCCCGAGCCGGGGGGGTCACTGCTCCCCATCCTGGCCGTCGGGGTCTGGAGGCACAGGCAGGTCCTGCCATTCGCCCCCCTTCAGCGGCAACACCGGGCGTTGTGTTTGTGGGTGGGTAGGAGGACAAGCTGTTATCTTCAGATCTATAATTTTTAGCAGCTTGTAAGTGGCACCCCCTCTCCCTGCCCTCCAGGAGCTATAAACAGCCTGAAAGGTCCCTCTTCCCCAGAGGAGGAGGTGTGTGGCATCCACTCGTGAGATGCAGAGTAGCAGAGGCTTTTTATAACCCCCCGGGAAGCGCTGCTGTGCCCATGCCCTCTCCCAGCACACGCACTCCCCGTCTGCAGCAGTGCTGTCACGTTCATTTAACCGCAGCCCGGTGCCCCTGCGGCGCTCGCCGGGGGGCACAGGGTCCCTGACGCCCACAGGGTTGGCCGCCCCGGCACGGGTTGTGTGGTGGGATGAAGGACAGGGCAAGGAGGACGGCTCCAGAGCACACCAGGTGAGGGGTAATGGAGAGAAGCTCCTCTCACTTGCTCACTCTATTCCCCATTGTTATTTCAAGCGGAGAGCCCAGAGGGACCCAGAAACGAGAGCCGCCCCACCACCACTGCCAAAGGGCACTTCTTGAGAGCCCATCGCCAGACCCATCTGGGACGTTGGTCCTGCCGGAGAGCCATCTCGCACAGCCTGCATGCGGGCAGCCAGCCTGGAGGACACAGCATCCTGGAGGGTGCGATACTCCCTAGAAAGAGCGGAGACACAGGTGCTGTAACATCTCCATAGTTCCAACCAGAAGACTGAAGGTCGCAGAGCTCCGTGAGAGTTGTCCTTCTGGTGGGCCAAAGAAAACCTGTTTGGTTTGACAGAGCAGACGCTTAAGAATTACTTTGGCTGTATGGACCAACTGTTCGTTTGCTTTGCAACAGCAGGGTTTTCACAAGCAGTTTTCCCATGTTTCGTTGCCCCTCAATATAGAAACTGTACAGTATGTGTGAAATGAGTGGAGTTTTCCATTTCTTGTAACAATGCCTTAATCTTCTGGTAACTCTGCCCAGGCAGCCATAAGAAGAGCGAGGAAATTAGTTTTCATATTGTAAGGATGCATCCCAGTATGTCAGGCCATGACTGAGGCAGAGCTGATGGCAGAGGTTATTTGATGTAGGCTCCCTTCCCCACTCTGCCGCTGATTGCTTTTATGACCTTGAAGAGTCACCCCACCTCTGTTTTTCCCCCTCTTTAAATGGGAGTAATTATATCCAACTTCATGGAGCTCTTTGTGATCTAAAGGTATTAAATGCAAACCTTGTTTATATGTTGGTGTCTCATAACCACCAGAACTGGCAATAGCCAACGATGTTAAAATATGTGAAATTCAAAGCTGGTAAAAGGCAATACTTTTTTCACCAGTGTCTTTATGCGTTGGAAACTCACAGCCCCAAGCTGGTGGTCAAAGCAGGAGGAGGAGCTGCGCACACTCAGGTAAACACAGAAATCTGTCTGATTTTCTCTCATATAAACCAAGCACAGAAAGGTTTGGAGTGAGGTGGTGGGAGAGATGAGGCTCTCACAAGGCACTTGCCATGACAGCCTGGAGAAAACAAACCTCACGCTTCTCACCACAGCACACCTCGCCAAGCCTCAGGAGTCAGCAGCAAGAAACTTGGCCATAAAACCCTCGTGCTCTCAGGAGCGACAGGGTTCGTTTCCGATCATGCGTTGTGTGCTGATAACAGCAAGCTTTCACCTCAGAGGAGTGCGTGGATGAGATCCTGCAAGGCTGGGCACACTCAGCCTGTCCCCAGCGTTGACATTGTCCGGGTGGACAGAAGTGCTCGCTGGACGGCTTGGCTCCTACAGGACAATGGGGACAAAGTGTATTTGTTGTTTGGTTTGGGATCCATTTGAGCTCTTTTCTGAGTCATCTTTGAAGATGGGGGAAGCCAAAGGATGTAGCTCCCTGGGGAGACACGTGTGCGCAGCCACTCTATGCCAAAGCGAGGATGGGCACATCAGAGTAGAATGACTATTTCTGCTCTAAATGTTGTTTCCTTGTTTCCAGCTTCATGATAAACCACTCTGATTGAAAGACTCTAGCCATACATATTTCAGCAGTTTCATCCCTTCAGTACAAGGCATCCCTCCACTGGTAAGCCGAAGAAGGCTCCTGCAGACAAGTGGGACCGGGGCAGCAGCCAGCGACGCGTGGCCGTGCCCGGGCAGGGGAGTTCTGCAGTGACAGTGCTGCCTGCTGCCTGAGGAGCAGCGTCCTCCAGACCCGGCACCCCACTGCATCCAGCCTGGAGTTAATTACAACATCGGCATCAAACAGAGACTTTTTAAATGAAAGGGAAGGACTAGCAGCTTTCTAGCTCTGCCTTTATTTTTTAACCCCAATTACGAGATGCATTGCAAGGGAGAGGTGGTGGCAGATAATAAAGTTCAATGGGATGGTCTGAGTGTTAAGTGGAGAACCAGGAAAGCCTCACATCCCAATCTGAAATTGGACATTGATATGCTGTGTGGCCTCATCTCCTGGTTTTCTCCATGTAAAGTGGGGGTGATGCTTAGCCCAAGGGGTGTTCCACAGATGAATTAGCATTTGGAAAGTGCTTTGAAGATTTAAGGTGTTATATAAATGCTAAGTGTTAGCATCATCGGCTTTTATATTGCAGCAGAACCCAGAGACTGCAATCAAGATCAGAGCTTTGCTGTACCAGGCAATTTAGAAACTCCTGGCTGGAAAAAGCCCCTGTCCCTGCCTCGGCGATCCGCAGCCTGCATGCCCCAGGCAGGCACAGGGTGGGCTGGAATCGCTGTCAGCTTTGAGGGGAAAGGTTGCCCAGAGCTTTAGCACCCGGTGGCATTCTCAGGAGATGAACAGCACGGCATGGTTCCCACAGCCATATGTTTCACTGAAGAGGGGTAAGACCAAGCCCAGAGAGTAACCACTGCCTTGGACCAGCCACCTTGCAGGCACAGTGCTCTCCGGACCCCCCGGATCCCCCCGGACCCCTCAAGTGCGCTCAGCACCGCTGGATCCCCCAGCCTGGGCCCTCCTCAGGTGCCCCACGAGGCGGCCGGGCTTTCGGGCTGCAGCCACCAATTTCCCTTGGGAATTCACCGGGAACTGCGCACTGCAAAATGCAGGTGCTTCTCCCCAGTAGAGTTGCAGTCCCACCCGTTGTTTTGATAGCACAACTAAAGCAGACTGGCCCTTAAAGTTTAGGAAAAACTGAAGAAGTACTCACAAAACAGATTTGATCGAAGATTAGCATTAACTGGTGTGCACAAAACCAGCTGGTCAGCTTCATTTCCACCGCTTGCCCACTGCAAGATATTTCATAATTCTGTTCCCTTTCTAATCAGGTGAAAATACAACATGAGTGTTAATCACAGAGCACAAATTGGGAAGAATATGTAAAAAAGATAAACAACCTTCAAAACCTTTGTTTTCAATATAGTTTATGTCACGCATTGCATTTAAAAACGTCAGTAGATGAGATGATGTTTGCAACATCATTCATTAAAACGTGTGCACTCAGTCAGCCAAGCACAAATCAACATACGACAGACTACAAAGAAATACCAAAGTAAAAGGAAACTTGAGATGAAACAGAGTGAGGTCATTGGTTTCTTGCATTATCCTGAAGATGTTTGTCAACATTTTAATTCAGCCAAATGGCTACCATTTAAAAAAAAAAAAAAACAAAACAAAAAAAACCCAAAAAAACCCCAACTTTGTTTTGACAAAATCATGATCTGCAGGGAAGAACTTTTGAAAAAACATGTTCACCATTTCCACTCTGTACTTCTGAACAAGACCTCCTGAGAAAAGGGAAGGGATGTATGTGCAGTCTGAGGCATTATCTGTGAGAGAACCAAGTAGAAACAGTTCCTTCAGATTTACAGTCTTCTCCTCTAATATTTGTACTATTTGTACCTTGTAAACACACGACTGAGATATGGTGGGGGTTGTAAGGAAAAATACCTCAGGTCTTCACTACATCTACTGCTCTGGTTAGGCAACACATCAGTATGTGCGAGCAAGGCAGACCTCGAGATAGGAATTCAGCTGATAAAGTGAATGCAAATTACAGATACCATGAAATGCGCCCTGGACTTCCAGCGCCACATCCAGTGCCTCGCTGGGGGAGAAGGTGCCCGTGTCAAACCCCATGCTGCTGTTGTTGGGCTTGGGTCGCGCTGCAGCACGTGGGCACGCTTCCTGCAGGGAAGCGGTGGCAGGAGCTGGATGTGCTCAGCACCCAGTTGGGGCCATCTCACCCCAGCACAGAACCCACTGCCCCACCAGCCCAGGAGCGAGAACAGCCGGGAGCTGCTGGAGCCCATGGTGATGGCGCTGAAAGTCGCACCGGGACTCAGCCCTGGCCCTGGTAATGGACACACACTTTTCGGTTTTTCCCTCTTGTCCCATGGAGCGGTTGCTGTTGAGGCGAGCATCCGTAGGAACAGCTGGAGCAGCTGGAGTGGTCACTCCCCGTTTTGAGCGCTGGGTGCAGAAAGCCGAGGCCAGCCCAGGTCTGGCACACGCTGCCCGCCCCAGCAGCCGCCGCGCCAGCTCCCCGCGCGAAGGTTCCCCTTCGGCCCCTCCGGCACGCGGCGGGCGCAGGGCGTCCCGTCTGCTCTGTGGGGCCGCGCGGCGGCCGCAAGCCCGGACTTGAATCCTGACGTGGTGTGCGCTTCAGTCTCCACTGGCGTGCAGCGCCGCGGGAGCTGAACAGGTTGAGTGACTTCAGGCTGTGGGAGGAATAATCGTCTTGGGTTGCTTCAGAGAGCTGAGGCAGCCAAACCGGGCGAGGATGGCACTGTGGAGTGCCTCGCGTCTCTGCCAGGTACCTCCGGAGTGTTTGTGTTTGAAGGACTTCTTTTTATAGAACTGCTGTCAAAATGGGTAGAGAGCGAGCTTAATTGGGACCGATCTGAAAAAGGAGGCGGCGTGTAGGTGTGCGAGGGATGTGTGCAGCGAGTGGCTGCTTTCAGCCAGAGCCCAGCGTAAACAGGTCCAGTCTCATGTTTATCGGGGACTCTTATCTCCTGAGCTGGTAAATTTTTTACTGTCATGTCAGTTATGATCCGCAGACCGGCGAGCATTAAAGACAACCTTGCATACAGCGTGAGTAAGGCTGAGCGCGCCTGTCCTGCTGCAGCCAGCGCTGCCCCGGCTGGCGGCAGGCAGGGAGCCAGCTCGCCCCGTTCAAGCTACAGGATCTGTCTGCCCAGCAAGCAGGACCCGGGGCTCCTGCCTCTGGCGTCAGCCCCAACGCCGTCCCCTCACGCGTACTGAGTCACAAGTGACTCACTTCAAACTTGGACGTGAGCGCAAAGTATACATTTGCAAATTGGCTGGTGAGGCACTGCTTTGCAATGTAGGTGGGATGTATTACATACTCCAGCAGTCAAGTTCTGCTCTTTTTCCCTCCTCCCTCTCCCTCCGTGCAGGATAGCTGTCTGAGCCCAGGATTTTGGTGCGGTTCTCGCGGGTGCAGGAAGGCATCTCAGCCTGCTCCGGTGGATGTGGCATGTGGATGGCTCCGGCCCCGCTTGTGACAGAGCTCTGCACTGAAGATGGATGATTTAGCTCTCCTTGACCTGTTGGAGTGTCCTGTGTGCTTTGAAAAGCTCGATGCCACAGCAAAGGTGCTACCTTGCCAGCACACTTTCTGCAAGCCCTGTCTGCAGAGGATCCTGAAATCCCAGAAGGAGCTCAGGTGCCCTGAGTGCAGGACCCTCGTACTCTGCAGCATCGAGCAGCTGCCCTCCAACCTGCTCCTCATTCGCCTCCTGGATGGAGTCAGGTGTGGACAAAACGTTACCAGGTTTGGCTCGATCCAGAGGTCAGGGGTCCTGTCATCCCCTGCCTCCATCAGGAGAGTCCCCAGGGGGCTGCAACTTCATCAGCACCGGCTGGCGACAAATCCCCGGATCCACATGGAAGGGGTAAGGAGGGTCCTCATTCTTTACTCTGTCCGTCAGCATAGAAAGCTTCCTGCTTGTGTGCAAAGAACTATGAAACTTTCCTGTTAGAAGTATTGCAGAAATGTTTGAAGTAAGAGAGATCGTTTTGCTTGCAAATCTGGCTGCTATTTCCTTGTGATATTTGACTGTTTCGAGTTCATCACAACAGTAGTTGCATTGACTCTCAGGCTGAGACAAAACCAGCTTGCCCTTCTCCTTACAAAAACTTCAGAGGAGCTGTTTTCCTCAGGAGTTTTCAGGTGCTTCCTGACTTTTGGGGGGCATTTCAGGCGCTTTGACTTTTGGGCAATATACTGATTTTTGACTGATAGCAATTAAATCAGTAATTGCAAAGCTGTAACTGTTAGAGGTGGAGAAGGGTATTTCCCGTCGCTGCACCTCAGTTTCCCCGGCCACTGAAAAGGAAAGAGAGCACCTAATGATGCTTATGTCCCTGGCAAAATACTTTGAGGTTCACTAATGAAAAATATTAAACTCGACTGACTTACTAACTTTATCTAGGGATGATTTACTAGGCTAATTTTAAAATTCTAAGTTGTTTCTGTCATTCTCTTTAACAGTAGAAAAGCTTTTCTTAAATAATGAGGACATGATATTAGACCTGTTAAAGGAGCTGGGCTCAGATTGAATTTGGGATAGAGACTGACTTGTGGCTTCACCTTTCCTGTGTTACATTCCTGGATTTCCACTTCTCCCACCTGCACTATTCTTCTGTACAATGTCTCTACAAACCTCTTCATAACATTCAACAGCTTGACTCAAACAGCTGTTAAATCTCAGGGCATTTTTGAGAATCACAGAGCCATAAGCTTCCAGGCAGACATCAGACAGGGTTTCTTGCCCACGTGCTATAGAGGTACATACGTGCATATTGCTGTGGAGCTGTAGAGGACCCCCTATGTCCTGTGGGTACAAGCTGGTGTCTGTATCCCAGGGAATCTCTGTGGCATCGGTAAGTCATCTTGGATGGATCACACATCAAAACCAGACATCTCTCAGGAGCTACTCTCTCAGAGTTTTCCCACTGGAAAGTGTGGCAGTGTGGCCCTGAGACATACGAACTGGGTCCCTCTCCCGGGAGCCCTGCCTGGCCCGCAGCTTATCAGGCAGGCAGACGTGCCTGCCTGTGCACGGAGGCAGTGCCTGGGCCAGGTGGGCAATGCAAGAAAGCCAGCCTGGAAGAGGCCATCTCCTTCTCCCACATGCATGTCTGCGGCCAGAAATCATGCTTTAGCTTAGATGGAACGTAGCTCAGTCCCCAAAAGTGCTGAGCGATGCTGTTCTGGCGGTGCTGGGAGAGTAGGGGCGGGTGGGCAAACGCAGTCTCCCATCTGCAGCACTCGTTAGGCGAGCGGTGGCCGGGTGGGAGAGCAGAGCGGAGTGGGGGCGAGCACAGTCCTCAGGCTGCGGACGGCTCCACCACAGCGACCCGTGGGGCTCGGCAGCCTCTGCCGCGGGTCACCCTGCTCCATCCGCGGGGCTGCCAGCTCCTGCGAGCAGCAGAGCCACGGCCAGCGAGGCCCCTCGCTCGGAACCAGCTCTCCAGGGAAGCTGCGGGGACTCGCTGGTGCCATTCGTGCGAGGTACGAACCATCAGACAGCGACGGTTTTCAGCCACTGTCACTATGGGTGGCATTTCAGCTGAAAATGAGAAGGTTCGTAGTTTCTCCAACTGGATTCCCGTAGCCCCAGATAAAAAAGCACAAATACGCTCGTCTGTTTTTCTTCTCTCACCCGTTTCACATTTCTTTTACTAGTTCTCAGGACAGGCAGAAACTTGTTGTTGATATTATACAGTAGCAACATCCATCAGTTTGCAGCTCCCCTAAGTGTTTTAAGACCAGACTCCTGGGAATTAGCAGAGCTAGTCAGCACTGGATGAGAGGGCTGTGGCTGTGGACCAGCTCCTCGCAGTGCAGGGACGCAGCACTGAGATAGCCCTCTGACTTCCTATGCCTCTTGATGAAGGGATGTAAAAACACATTACACTGAAATGCTCTTAGACTTAATTAGTTAATTAATTATAAAACACTTTGGAATCTTCGGCTGCAAGGTGAAGAATGAAGCATATTAGTCACGTTTTGGGTTTGGTGGTTTTAAACACATACAGATGGGACCACACGTTACTTTAGCTGCGCCAGTGGGACATTAACACATGCAGACTCTCCCCTGAACTGGCACCTGGTAATAGCAGCCCTTCACCTGGCAGTAGCAAGGACTCATCTGGAAGTGCCTGTGCGGTGCAGAGAGACAAGGCAGTAATAAGGATGACTTGTCATCTCCCTACACCATGGAGTGCTTGAGTTTCAGGGTATTCATCCGAAGTAATCTGGGTGAGCAGAGGCCTCCAAACGATTTGAACCACAGAGCAGATGCTTTTTGTCAAGCATCACAGTGAGAGCAGCTATTGTGCAATCCTGCTCTACCACTGTTAATCCCACCACAGTTGCTTTCCTGGGTACTCATAAATGCAGTTTTCATTTGCAACTGCAGTGGAAGGTCATGTGCTTCCAAAGACTGCCCCAATCTGCATAGTCTGCTTATTACCACTAATACTATACACCACTTCATGCTACAAAGCAAATGAAATTAACGTGCACATTGCTGCACTGCAGCCACATACGCCATCAAAAGCAGGATACAGGACATGTTTTGTTTTTATCAAAGAAGCTGTTCTATAAACAAACTTCCTTTACTCCATGATGCTGAGAAAAATCACAAATTTGACCAAAGTTTCTCTTCTCAGCAGAGATGGTTTCTTTGCCAGCTTTTTGCTGTTCATCCTCATGAGCATCCATGAAGACAAAAAAGTAAAATAAATCCCCTCATCACCAAGCAAGCCAAGAACTTGTATCATTCCAAGAGGGAAGTGCAAGCAGGCCCCAGCAGAGCTGCTGAATTAGCAGTAATACAATACTCAGTTTGCAGTCAGGAATTTCAGAGAGCCAGTCCTTAAAAAACAGGGAATATTCTAGTTACAGCCCATCCCAAACTCTTTCTTGCTAGCATTCAAATCACTTTGAATCCACTTCCTACATGCTAACACGGGGTAGGCACATTCTGGGTTTGAGCACACAGGCACGTACATGCGTATCCATACCCAGGCTGTGCCTCTGCAGGGACCAGACGGGCCCTGAGCAGCCGCCGTGGGAGCAGCCGCTCAGGCAGTGCTGCGCCGAGGCCACTGGCACTGCCCGGTAGCTGCTCCCAGGACGTCTGGCCAGGTTTTAAGATCTTTAACATCTATGCAGAGAGGACAAGACTTTGGATTTTCAGGATCTCCACATAATAAACTGTCTGGAATTTAAGAATAAAAGGATTTGCTAGGAGGTGAATGCGTAAATAATCTATGCTGAAGCCTTTGAACTCTTAGGAACCGCCCCTGGCATGTGCCAGATGTGGTTACATCTTGTGCTGAAGCATCCTTCGTATCTGGCTTCAGCCCCAATGTAAGCTAAACACAGCTTTGCCGCTGGTGAGAGAACAGAAAGATCGTGTGTGCTGAGGTATACACAAAACTCCCATACTTCTCTGATGAGTAGCAGACCTAAACTATACCCTACACAGGGCAAAAATCCATCCAGGCCACTAAACAGCTACTTGGATGATGAACTTTGTCATGCAACAAATACAGGGCAGTGAGCCAGAGGAGGAAAATTCTGAGTATGACAGCTTGCCTTTGGAAAACACAGACCACACAAATTTAACTGTGACTTTGGCTATTTTCTCTTTGCATGAACTGAGTGCTGTAACAGCCCCCTCCAGCATTTCATGGGAGATAGACAGATAACACCTCTATTGGGATAAAAATACACTGCACTCCAACGTCGCCACCTTCACACGGACGTCTATATATAGTACCTGTGTCTTGGTATTTTCTTCTCCTCCAGAAACATCTCCAACTCCTTTCTGAATTTGACAGACAGGACTTGGATTGCTGCATCTTTTTGAAACCTTATTCAAAGCAACCTTTATGTCTGCACCCAGCGGAGGCAAACACGTTTCCGGGCCCACTCACTGTGCAAACCACCCTCCCCAACCCTCCCAAAAAACCCCCCACAGTTCCTGTGCAGTCACAGTAATGACCTCCTCACGCGTGTCATATCACCTTGGGCTGGACAAACGCTAAACAAACGTTACAAACCCAGGCAGTCTGCACAGGCACATTGGCTCTGCCTTAGAGCCGGAGAGGGGGAGCATCTTCTCGCCCAGCAGCCGCTGTGGGTGGTGGCTGTTTGTGCCACAGCGTCCCTCGGCTGGAAATGGAGCCACTTTATTTGGCTAAAAATTCTGTGTGGCCTTATGGCCTTCTGGGAGAAAGGGCTTGCCCCAATTCTCCTCCACAGCCACATCCCATCAGGGTTTGTCTCATTCTAGAAAAACACTGGGTGTGACCCAAGGAACTGTTTCCGCAGAGCTGGCTTGCACTTTGTACAGGATACCATCGCATGCCTTTTTTCTCCTTTGCATATAGTTTTAGCACTTTTATCTACTGCAAAGAGAGAGAGAAGTCACCTCAATATAGATTGCCTGACAATACACACCCTGAAAGCTGTGTGTGCAACAACAACAGATTCAAGCGCACAGAAGTAGGAATCTTTGCAGTAGCTGTAAGCTCACCAGGAGACTGAGCCATTCATTCGTTTCTGTTGGAGAGGGGCATAAGGCAGAACCACAGCCTCAGAGGCAGGGGCTGAGGGTTATGTCAGGTTCCCTACGGAAAGCTTAAAATGAAAATACCATTTTGATGGGGTGAAGGATGAAACACCCGGTTGGACTGTAAATGTGAGGTGGCACTGCTGTACTCAGGTCAGGACAGGATGGAGTGACGGGTGGCTTTGCAGAAGGCTGGGGCGGGTGCATGATTGACTTACATTCAAGTCTGGTTTTGTTGCTGGCAAACTTTCCTCTGCACTTTCGATGAGTGAGCAAGGCTCCTTGCTAGGGAACCCTGCAAACGG